ATCTCTCCCAAACAAGCTCTGAATTTCTAGTTCAACGTAAAAAATTGATAGGAATTCGGAGTTGCCAGTTGAAAGTTATGCATGAGTAACTAAGAGACTAAACTTGGACGAAAATTGTAAACTAGGGACCAACACCAAGATATTAAAAGCTAAAGGACTGCAACCGTATAATGCTTGACTAAGGCCACAATGAGGCAAATATTTTCCCATTAGTCTCATTGAGGCCGCAGTAGCATTGTGTGGCTTCAGTGACACCTGTCTGAGACAAGGTTTAGCCTCCGATTCTCATTTTTTTTTCAAAATTCATTTTCAACCATACATTTTCACATAAAATAATTTTATATGTAAACCCAAAAAATTTCATATGTTTTAATCACACATTTCTCTAAAAAATCACTATTTCAAAAATATTTTTCCCAAAAAATGGGTTGCAAACAGTGGCTTAGGAAATCTTGTTTCCTAAATCAATTATACTTCGAGGATTCTTGGGATATGACTTCCAAGGCAAGGTGTTTGGTGGAGATTAAAATTAGATTTTTAGTGAATTGTGATAGAAGTTTTTGAAATGTATAGTTAAAAAGATGTGGGACCCATGAAAAATGTGATTAATATTGATCGTTTGACTTGGATTAAAATCAGATTTTAATTCGGCCCAAACAAAGATCAAATCTAGATTTAAAAAAAAAAAAAAGAAGAAGTACATCTTAGATATCAAAGAAAACACATCAAAATTCATTTTTTAGGAGAAATCAAAGGGAGGACTCAAGAAACTCATGGGAATTCAAGTATAAAGATGTCCAGGCTCTTGAAATTGAAGATTGTTGAAATTCATTCTATCTTCTCATTCTTCAATTGACTGGTTGATATCTATGTCAACTTATTCATGTCTTGATTTTTGCATCATGTTTCTTGGCTAGATTATTTGTTAGTAGGAGTGATGTAGCTAATTTACTTCTACTCTTGTCTTGATTCAATATTAGGGTTTTCCATTATATAAATTGGGTTGAATTGACAAGATTGATTTATTTTCATGTTTGCCAATGAGAATGAAATGACATTACATTCGTTGCATGTTAAATCGAAAGACTAAATCTTAGAACATCCAATCTTGCTTTAAATGAATTTGTTATTAAATTGAAAATTCTCTACTTATTCATGCGGTTGTCCTATATTCTTGTGTATCACTTTTATCATCAGTTGTGTGTGATTAATTTTAATTAAAGCTAATAAGTAGATAATAAATCATAGTGTGTTCTACGCTCTACTAATGATTATATTACTTAATGACCATACACAATTTATAGAATTCATAACTTTTACCTACTTTTTAGCCACAAATTTCTTAGAATCCACTACTTATAATCACTTTTAAGTATTGACAAACATGTGCTAAAACTTCATTATAAGTTGCGTGGCCATCATCCTTTCACCAACCATAATTGGCATGATAATTTTCTACTTAAAAGTCAAATATGGGAAGAACTTTATGAGTTTTAGATTCACGAACCTGAATATTTAGGCTGGTTTTGTAGGATTTGCTCATGGATCTGGTTTAGAATTTGACAAGGAAAAATTGATTGAAATTAAGGCTGTTTGGAAATGGACAAACCCAACGACTATATTGAACATGGACCTTACCCAATTACAACAGGCCAGTTTAAGCCTCTAGTTGACATTTGACACTAATAGCACTAAACCGATGTTATTAACGTTGTGAACACTTCCTACGCTCACGAAAACGTGTCCACTTCACAGTGCTTTAGTTACTTGTATATTTATGCTTGCTTTAGTTTATCATTCGAAATTGTAACTTCTAAGAGTGGCATACTATAATAAGACAATACTTTAAATGTTTGAATTTGTTGATCTATGAGTGATTAAGGTATCATTCGACGTGAGTGATTAATGTATCACTCGATCTTTTTTCGATACACTCGAATGCTCATCATGCTCGTCAAATAGTTTGGCATACGGCATTCTCACCTTAAATACTTGGTGGTTCAACATTATCAATCTGCAATTCATTTGAAATGATATTCTATGACAATAATACAATTTAGTTGCAGATTTTACATCAATGACGAAAATGAAAGAGACAAGGAGATAACAAACCAATCATGTTACTTGTACAACTTTTTTTACAACTTCACACTTGACAAGCATCACATGTATCCATTTTTAAATCAACAATACGGATCTTGACAACACAGATTGTCAAACTAGTTGTCAACAAAGGTTGTGCAACTAGCTTTGACAATTACCATAACGGAAGAACATCACCTATTAAAAGCCTGTTTGACAAGACTTTTGAAAAGTCAAAAACTATTTTTGAAATTAAGAAGCTGCTTTGGAACATATTTAGATAATTTTACCAAAAATCCAACTAAAGAGCATTTAGATAACATGTATAAGATAGCTTCTTCATGAAGCTCGTCTACAAGAAGTAGAAGCAAAAACAGAAAAAAGAAATCTTGTCAAACGGCCCTTGAGTATTTTAGATTCATAAAGTAAGTTATGAGAGTTATAAGAAGAAAATGAATACAAGCAAAAGACACACTGCTCCAAGTTTTTTCACTATGCAGAAAAGAAATACTGTAGAATATGATTAACCTCTGTATTCCAATACTCGGCTAACGCAATGCAACTTCTGGCAAACAAGGAATAAAATGGAAGTGTTGATTTAGCAATGCATTCCATTCTAAACAAATTGAAACAATGAAAATGGAAACTAAAACAATAAAATGAATTGAAGAAATGCTACAAGTTAGCAGAACACTAGAATCAATCTAATGCATCAATTCCTAGTATATTTAGGTAAAGTATAACCTATAAACCATCAATTTAACATACAACGAAGCAAAATTGAACTCCCTATCTCGCCATCAAAATTGATTCCATCTTGCTAGACACCTGCAGGAATCGTATGAGAAACTGGATATCGTCGCTCAGTTCTTGATGATATTGATGGTTTGATTGGTTGATCAAATCCCGGATCAATGATGGAGCTAGCGACGCCCTCGGTTTCCTCCTCTTTCGATTTTCCTTCGTCAAAATGGGATACGATTTCATCCTCCACATCTTCTTCAGACAAATAATCGAAGAAATGCTCCCCAGAATCAAAGCTGCGATAATCTTGAAATGAGCTACTACTTAATTCATCCTCACTTTCATACACTAACAAAATAGATTCAATCTCATTCAAATCTTCGACCTCCTCAAATTCTTCAGCCTCGTCCTCATCCTCGTCCAAACCTTCTAAAAACGGATGATTCAACAACATTTCTGCAGTCAATCTAAACATTGGTTTCCTCACAAAGCAACCCTTAAGAAAATTTCTTGCCTCCTTAGATATCTCACTCGGAATTTTCGGCAATTCGTGCCCGTCTTTAATCTTGCAAAGAATATCCTCTGCATTTGATTCCTTTTCCCCATCCCAAGGAGGTTTCCCAGTTAACATCTCAAGAACAATACACCCAAATGCCCAAATATCAGAGGGAAACTCTTGCACATTATCCACTACAGCCTCGGGAGCCAAGTACCGCGGAGTACCCCTCCAATAAGGCTCCAGTTTCCTCTTCTTGTTCCCCTGCGCCCTCTTCGCCAACCCAAAATCGCCGATTTTTGCCCTAAACTCAGAAACCCTGGTTCTTCGACCACTATGAACAAGTAAAATATTATCGGGTTTTAAATCACAATGAACGTAACCAATGCCATGAATATGATTTAACCCTTGAAGTATAGACCTCGCATATACCCTAACTTCGGATTCAGACAATCCTTTGCCGCCCAATTTCTTGATTCTATCAGCTAATGTTCCACCAGAACCATACTCTAAAAGCAGATTATACGCCATCACACCATTCTCTCCCATTGTTGTCTCTTCACCAAAACACCTAATTATATTAGGGCATCCCTTGACATTGCTCAAAACCTCCCTCTCCTTCTGAATTGAACCAGAAACCGAAACCTCTGCCGATTTTACAGCCATCACAGACGGCAAACAGCTGTATTTTGATTTGGGATTCTTCAAAGTAGCCAAATAAACACGACCAAAACTCCCTTTTCCTATCATTGCACCCCTAAACCATGCAACCCCATCTCCATATATAGGCTCACCCTTTTCTTGAACCATT